CTTTGCAGTGTTTAGGTGGGTGGCACGTGTCAAAAAGACATCCACATGAATACCAGGAGCCTACTGAATTGAAACAGAAGGAACAGTGTTATTCGTCATTGGTTTCATTTTTAGGTTTATACTAATTTAAATTAAAATCAAGAAAGTCTTGTACCTTCAGCCAGACTGGGCGGTGACTTGAAGTTAATTGTGGACGTTAAGACCATCAGTGTGGGTGCAGGGTGTGGCAGAGAGGAGAATGTCTGTGAATGGCTAACAAATTAGAAAACAGGAGTTGCAGAAACCCTTAATTTTACTCCTCTCAAGTGCTTAGTCAAGCATAGCTGTAAAATTGCATATGGGTGACAGTCAAAGCCTGTAATGGCGATATTTAAGCAGTGCTGTAGGTCCAACAGCTGCGTCACAAAATAAACAGTGTAAAACCACCCAGGTTACAAAGTGGAACTAGTGTATTGTATCTTATAATACTGCCTAATTCATGTGAATTATTTTGAACCTAAACTTGTATTTATTGGGTGTGATCATCATTTAAGAAGGTTGCAATCACAAGCTCCTTTTCATTAAGGGCGCGTACACGCATTAGATACAACACAGACATGGTAAAACTAAAGTACACCCTCAGATCAATCGATTACACCATGTCATTATTTATTAAACCAAAACCAAGCCAAATGAAGCAGAGCGTGAAAAATAACGTCTTTGTTCACCTCAGGTTGAAAATAGCTAATTTCAAAGCTTTGACAGTTTTTTATGCCCTCGTTTGCAAAATCTTAGAGCTGACAAATGATGCTCTTTGTTTTTACCGTGTAGTTTTAAACTGTTAAAAACACTGAGATGACCTTGTATAATCATTGCTACTGTCTCCCTAGATCAGACTGGAAGCAAAGAGAAACAGAAAGCCAGGCTTTAACCAGAATTAACATAGTGTGGACAGACTAGTTGATTCCCTATCACTGTTTCCTGGCTCCAGCTATAATTACACTGTGATTATATTTAATGGAGCGATTTCATCTCAATATTCTTGTCTAAATGATTTCAAGAAAGGAAAAATAAAACAGCTTTGTTCAAACCTTTTTGTCCTGTGAGGACACTGAAACACAAACATACCGATGACATGTCATTCATGCATCAGACCAGGGGTCCCCAACTCCAGGCCTCGAGGGCCGGTGTCCTGCAGGTTTTAGATCTCACCCTGGGTCTACACACCTGAATCAAATGATTAGTTCATTACCAGGCTTCTGGAGAACTTCAAGACATGTTGAGGAGGTCATTTAGCCATTTGAATCAGCTGTGTTGGATCAGGGACACATCTAAAAACTGCAGGACATTGGCCCTTGAGGCCTGCAGTTGGGGACCCATGCATCAGACAAACCAAAGCTGATCAATCCCTCCTGCTCTCCTGCTTCTTCTCCTCACAGAGCTTTGGCATTCTCATGACTGTAATGGGAGACAAATGTGCTAGAACGTGGCTTAAACGATCTGTAAGAGTGAGTAGGCAAATATCTATTTTTCCATTTAAAGTTTATGCTTTCAGAGGAATTTCGTATATTGGAGCGAGGTATTGGGGTAGAATGTGCTGACTCTATAAATGTGGCCAAACCACAGATTGAAGCCCTGCTCAAAACAGACGTATCCCATTATTACACAAGGGGAGAAGGGGCTTTCTGATTATACCGAGGTGGTTTATTCAAGTAATATAATCATTCGTGCTTAAAATGAAATATGTAGCTCGTAGCATCTCCACACTTGGCTTATAGCTGAGAAAAGAAACCCCCAAACTCTTTTTCAGTAGGAAACTCTTGACACAATTGCAGCACAGCGAGTTGTTTTCTAACAAATTAAAAGTCTGACATGTTCTGATTTTTAACTTTGGAAATGACTAAAAACAGAAAATGTTTCAATCTTAATAGGTTGGGCTATTTGCTAAGAATATATTTTTAGCTAATTTGCAATAGTAAAAGGCAAAACAGCCCAGTTGAACCTGGTTTAGGTGCTCAACATTCATCCCAAATGAAGTTAAAATGCTAAACTGTGATGAGCATCCTAACTTGCATCTTAGCATATAGGTGTTTTTGCATTTGGATGTGAAAGAACTGCTGGCTTGTCTGCAGACTCTTGTTTTACTGCAACTCACTTTTGGTTTTGTATAGAAGTAATCAAAGCAAAAAATGATAAAAATGATGGACAAAAATATGAAATGGTTTTTAAAAATGGCAAAAAAAAGTTAATATCACTAAACCAACTAATGAAAATGTAAAAAGTGGGTTAACATTCAAGGGGACAGAATGTATCTACTTGAAATACCACCCAGGCTAATAGGTGAAATGTTCCTCTCACCTTTCACCTCTGCTGTCCACTGGTTATCAGCAATGACAACTTGGCTCTTATTGGTTCCTGTGTGTTTTGCATGTGTCATTCTGACACAAGGTAACCCCGTCTGTGGATAGATTTCTGCAACACAATAGTGCTGTAGTCATGCAAAACACAAACTCCCTTCATAATAAAGACTGGGATCTGCTGATGGGTCTGTCCTATGAGCACAGAGTAAAGGAGGCCAAGAGCGTGTGTGTGGGTTTTTTATTTTCTTTATTTTTATTTTTATTTTTTAAATTTCCCTCTGTTTCATGTTTATTTGGTGGGTGAGCGTGAATTTAGACACGTCTGGTTATTTAAACACGATCAGACATTAGAGGTGTGCAACATAACCTTCATATTAATGTCTGGCCTCTAAAAAGCTAAAGAGATGGCTAACTGAGAATGTTACATTTCAGGATGCCTTTGCGAACACTTATAGATGAAACAACATGGCACGCCTCCACGTGACAATTCAACATCCAGTGCTTGTCAGAGCGACTATGATATTAAATGAGTCATTTTCTTTCCACTCTGTAATTTCGGCTACAGCTATGATGCAGGTTAACGGTTGGTACTGTGTGAATAGCAATCTGAGAGAACAGTGTTTTATCCCAGTTCTTGGCGTAAACAACCAGTGAAGCAAGCGATCATCTAATTTTGTATGCCTTGTGCGATCCTCCGTAACATTTCTAATGCTTTCTTTTGGACATGTAATATGTTTCCATACCAGATGTATGGAGGGATGTGCAGTTGTACAAACAAAACAAAGTACTATGAGGATCCAAGTACCCCAAAAAGCATCTGAATCATAGTGGAAAACTGAAATAAGGTTTAAACCAGGTTAGTTTCAGTCTTTATATTATTTTAAACAATATTCTTACAAATCAATAATTGGCCACTTCTATAGGACACTTGTTGGCTACCCAGTATTATACATTATAAGGAGATTACAGCGTCTTTATGACCAGGGACTGTAACTCTGCTACTTACTTTCAAAGAGACGGCTATTCGTATTTGTGGAAATCACTTTCAGTAAGTAGGCTTCAAGATAATAAAACTGTAAATTAGAGGGGAAAAACGTTTCATGGGAAGTGCAAAATGAAATTCTATCTGTGGTTGACAATGTTGGACCTCCAGTGAAGTGGGAATCCCTCGAGTCTTTTTCCATAGCAGCCTTTCTGTGCAGACAGTATGATAATGAAGAGTGCTCACTGGCAGCGAGGAACTATGAAACAGCTTGATATTAAACTGTTAAATATGAAGGGATCCTCTTCGGACAGCTTCAATGTGGCAAATTGAAACTTTATACTTTCACGACTGGCTCGATTTCCTTGTTGGGAGTGCTCGTGTTTGCCATTATGATCCTAAGTCACTCACAAAGGTACAATTGTGAGCAACAAAGGCGGACTCTGCACCAACCACCTGCTCTGTCTCATAAAACGTGATGTGCACATTACACATCTCAGAATTTCTTTCACCAATCTCAACAGAGCAATTCTCATTTTTTCTGTAATGATTCCTGTTACGTGTGCAGGTGCAATTGTGTTCCTGTACTGTAAGGGGTGTTTTACAGCTTGCTTTTACCAGCTATTAACATGCTATTTCCTGCGTGGAATTTTTATGAATTGCTTACCAGAAGTGTTTGCAGACAGTCCTTTCCCCCACTGTCTTTTAGTACAGCTGATTCGCCACTTTTTGACTTCCTGCAAAGCCTCTTTTAACCAGTCTCGCCACTCAGCTAAACATCAGTGAGCAATGCAGAGAAAATCAGCTCTTTAGGTTATTCTCTCCCAAGATCAACATCATGGAGCAGCGCACCATTTTGCTGTGGTTACATATTGGCAAAAAATATCAGTACTTTGTGAAGACGGGAGTTATAAAATAGTTTGAAATGAAGAATCTTGGAGAAGCACAATTTCATTGCCCTCCTGTGTTTTTGCCTGCTTCACTAGATTCAGACAGTAAGGGCTTGTTCTCTATGTAATGTAATCAAATGACTGCAGAGAGGAGCGTAAAATGAAAAGAGACACAAACTTTTTGCAGACAGATGCAAAATGACCACAGAAATACAAACCAGTTCCCCAAAGCCATAACAGGACCTCATGGAGATGCAAAGACCACAAAGACACACAAACAACTGCAAGAAAACACACAAAGTTTCTCACTGCCAAGAACTAGGACCTTTAGTCCATTCAAAAGTTGTTTTTGGACTCCTTTCTGGGCATTTTTCTCCCTGTGGTTCATTCCAAACATCTCATTTCAAGCTTAGAGTGCTGATTTTTATGGAAATACACAGCAGCGACCTCACATGCAGGTCACCAATAACTAGTTGAGAGTGTGCAAAAGAAAATGAATGATTGAACCTGTCGATCCCGATTATACACAAGGAGATGGACAGTTTTGTCCTCACAGCCCTTTGCATTCCCTGCATAATAATAGCCTGTTGTCAAGGAGGGAGGAAGGAAGAAAGGAGGAAGGAGAGGGGAGGAAACTGCGCTGAAAGAAAAGCAACTGCTGATCCAAGTGTGAGGTTAAATGCTCTGGAAGCGCAAAGAGGGAGGGAGCAGTATCTTATTCTGAGAGGTGTGGGTTTAGTGTTGGATCTTTTCTTTTTCTTTTTTCTTTTTTTTTTTTTTTTTTTTTTTGTCAATAATTGACGAAAAAAACCCGCAGTTGGATCAATATTACCAAATCAGTTTTTCAGGGGCGTTATCTCTGGCTCTAAAGTCTATTTTTTTTTTTTTCTAAGTCATGCCACGTTTGAGATTACGCCTGTGATGGGCTGAGCCATCATCCTCCTCTCGCTCACACTCTGCTGCCGCTCAGACTGTGCCGCTCAGACACAGAGGCTGGTCGAAAAGTTACCAAAGTTGCCTTGCCTTCTTTTATTTGTTTATTTATTTGACATTGTCATCGCGAACACCTCATTCTGCTGTTCACCGGGCCCGCCGCAGCATGCTGGACTGACGGCCTGTAGGAATGGCATCGGCTGTGTTTGAAGGGACGTCCCTGGTCAACATGTTCGTCCGGGACTGCTGGGTTAACGGGATCCGGAGACTTATTATCAGTCAGAGCGGAGAGGAAGAGGAGTTTTTCGAGATCAGGACCGAGTGGTCTGACAGGAACATTTTATACTTGCATCGCAGTTACTCTGATCTCGGGCGGCTGTTTAGGAGACTGGTGGAGTCTTTTCCGGAGGACAGACGAGATCTGTCCAAATCTCCACTGATAGAAGGTTGGTGTGACAGCGGATAACATGTGACAGTTACTAATCTACAAGGCAGGAAGCGATGATCGAGCAGTATCAGAAATAACTCATTTCTATTATTATATTCCCGTTCAGGAGCGTAGCTATTGCATTTATACTGTAAGTGTAGGAAGGAAGTTGGACACCCTGTCCTCTTTAGCACTACGAGTTTCAAATTCCAGAAGAGAAATATTTACTCTGAAGTCCCGAAACAAAGAAAACAAACTAATTTTGGCATTTCAAGCAATTAAACTTGCAGATGGCATTTCTATGTAATTAGTCAAATAATTGAAGCTCAGTTTTCTACTATTTACCAGACTTTTGCAGCATTTTTCAGCAATATGAAGCTACCTCGAACTAAATCAGCACTGACCACTTTTTTTTTTTTTAACTAATTGAAAAGTTTGTCTTTGAGTTTGCGGTGGACTCCCTAAAGGAAATCCTCCAGCAGATTATATTCCTGTTTACATTTTGCAAGAGATGGTACAGAAGTTGTTGTCTTTGTGCATTGCAGTCAGATCCAGATCCGCAAATGATCCATTGACACCATAGGGCTGATTAAAGTGCTGGTGATTAACAAAGCAGAATACACGAAGAAAAATATAGAGCTTAATCAGCAAAGGCTTGGTTCTAATTTGAAAGGCTTCAGAGCCTTGGAGGTTAATAATCAACATTGTGCTCTTTAGGATGTCACATCAATAGAACTATCACATAGTCTGTGCTGACAGCATGTTTCTAATCTATGTCAATATTTAGGACCTAAAAGACTGGACACACTATGTGTAAGATTTGTTGCCATGACTCTGTGGGAGCTGGATTCCCTATGGGGATCCTTAAGTACCAACGCAGACTTTCAGTGTGGAAATCTGTTCTTTACATCTTACATCACAAGCTTGCTGCTGGAGCAAGTCTTTTCTGGTAGCTTAAAACTTGGATCAAAGGCCATGGTAAAAATATTTCTATTGCTTATGCACATTTTTTTATTATGAGGGATAAAAATACACAGTTTTGCAGAAGATGGGTGTTGAAATGTAAACTTGTTGAGATATAAACAGTTAGTCCAGATGGTAGCATTTTAGGTTAACATCAGTTATTTGACACACTATTTTATACACACTATTTATTTCTTTTAAAGATATGAAAGTGAAGGTTTTTCCTTCAAAAGCAAGCGGGGTATTCAAGTTAAAGCTTGGCTTTACTGTGTCTGAGCATCCAACCAAAGCATACTGTTTATGTTGTCTTTGACCATGTTGCAATATTTGCCTTTCACAGTCACTTTCAACCACCTGTGTCTGGCTTAATCCAGGGGTCTTTTTAGTGGTTTTCCCGCACTCTTTTCCACTTTCTATTTTTTTTTTTTTTTTAAATGTAAGTGCGGGAGAGCCATCCAGCCACAAACTACTGCAGAAATAACATGTTTGTTTGTTTGTTTGTTTTTAAATTACAGTGGTTCTGGTTTACTTCACTTAATTTTGAATAAATATAAGTAAAACGTTCGTCGGAAACTGAATGTGAAAGATTTTGTGCTACTGATATCAGGTAATTTAAACAGTAAAATATAAGGCAGTGCTTTGCAGAGGGCAGTCTTTTGGTATACTATGTGTGAACCTCCAGCATTCAGGATTTGGATACCCCACAACTGTCACAAATTTGGCAAAGCTCCCAGCCTCTCCTGTGTGAGAGAAGACCCCCCCCCCCCCTCCTTGGCACTTTGCTTTCGTGTCTACTTGCTGAGCTTATACCAGTGTTTTGGAGACATCCCTTTAGCTGGGACTGGAAAGGCTGGCTTCCTGCTCAGGCACTAAAATAGCTGACAGAGTTGTTGACAGCTAGCTGCTTCGCCTCAGCCAGTGCAGTGTGGAATGCATTTTGGGACGACACGTTTTTGATCTCATGACTCACTTTTCACTTCTTTATTCCGTCTGTCACTCTCATGCTGATTATAGCTCAATGATAAATGAAGCTGAAGGAGACATCAGGACCATTTTAGTGTTTGAAACTGGTTTGAGCATTTCATTGACGAATTGTGAGCCACGGGGTTAAAAAAGAATTGAGGAATTCAGGAATTCCTATCCCTTTTTAATATTTCCTTTGCATCCCATCTAATCGCTGCGCTGATTGAAGATCTTGAGGGGGGGAAAAAAAAAAAAAACATAGGTCTGCCCTTTCTCAGTCCATTTTGCCACAATTTCTGGCTCTGGTCATGTTTTCCTGTTTCTGTGCTGCGTCTAGGCAACAAGGAAGGCGTGCAGAGCTTTTCAGACTTATGTCATGATGAGAAAGAGGGCGACTGCGGAGGAGTGGACTTCCCATATTTAGTACCGCTGGTCTGCCAGGGCCTCATCACACTTACCTTACATGTGACCCCATGAGCATACAGACAGCGAGCGATTGCTCACATTCCATGTGAGCTAGATATGATCAAGGAATGTAGACGCAGACAGCGTTGAAATCACTCTTACAAACTGTCAGCTTCTGTTGCCTACTCAAGCAGTTTCTCTATTTTAGGCTTTTTTTTTTTTTTTAAACAGTAATATATGAATGCTAAACAATATAATACAACCTCAATTTTTACTCTGTAGGCAGCAAAGGTGACACTTTGACACTGTGGAGAGACTATTAAATTGGCAGACTACCTATAATGCACTGTATAATAAAAAAGGAATATATGCACATCACTTTCATGCAATTTGACATTTAAAATGGGATGTACATGCATTGTCTGTTCAAAATTTGCATGAGATGAGAGTGAAGAAAATGGGCAATCTGATCATTAATGTGCTCAGAATGGCTACAGACAGAATTCACCTAACCTAGCACCTTTCAAAGGTACACGATCTGCTCTCATGTCATCTGTAAACGTCGCTATTTAACATAGTTGTTTAATCTAATCAAGAAAAATCAATACAAAACAACATTGCTGCATTTATCAATGATCTCGGAGGGGCAGGTGAGCTTTGTGGACGTGCAACACTATCAACATCAAGCATAACTCAAGAAACGAAATTCCTCGAAATGCCAAAGTCTTCCTTTAACTTCCAGCTTAACGACAGCTGAATCAAGCTGAGCCATTTCAGCTTTTCACAAAGCAGCTTTGTGAAACCAAACAAATGGCAGCATACACGTAGCGGCTGCAAATAGAGATTTTACAGGAAATATAGTGTGCATGTGTAAAGATTAAAATGGCCTGCAGCAACAACTTGGTGCAACTTCTTGCTAATAAAAGTAACATCTTCTTTCTGACCATGCCTGGGGCTTGATGACTGAAGTATTCGGGAATAATGTGTTGACAAACTGTGGCATGTTAGTGGTTGAATGATTAAGTACTGTGCTGCTGACTGCAGCTTATCAGATCCCTGCAGAAGATAACTGTGAAATGTGGCTCTTACAACATAGGATGACTAGATAATGTGCATGAGGAAGACGTGGGGACGGCTGAGTTCCTGTTATACACATGCTTCTATTTTTTGTAATATTACAGAGCTTCTCGTCACCATGGCATTTTATAATAAGCTACCTTTATAATGACTACAATTAGTGCTACTGATTACTGATCACATTTTACCAACTAGCAGCCCCAGGTAAATAAACACAGTCACATGTTCTTCTTAAAAATAGAAGTACAGTAATCAAAAGTGAAAGCTACTAAGAGACAACTAAAAAGAGCCAAAATGGCTGGTTGTGAGGTCACTGTAGGGTAAAGTGAAAATAGTTTCACTGTAGAATAATTTGCTCTATACCACCAATGACAGCGTTGTTTAATTATTTATAGTGCATGGACCACTGTAACCAGAAAGTCTAAGCAGAAAAATCAGTTTACAACCATGTAATTCTAGCCGACACAGAAAATTAGACATCCTGGGTTAAACTCATGAGACACATGTCAGTAATCTAGCGAAGCACTCTAATATTGATGTAAAGATTGATGTGTTAGAGTGATTTCCAAAGCTATGGCACAAAATCCGCTCCCAAAAAATCCCCAAACTTTCTTTAATGAATATTTTTTCTCATCCAAAAGTTTTGCTGTGTGATTAAAATGAACATTAATCAGTATTTGTCATCTACAATAACATGCTTACACGACATTGGGCCTTATGACTGATTAACACCGTATGAAGCCAACTGATAGCAGCAGTTGCGTGCTGAAATTTGCACTCTCTAATTAGACACATAATCAAGCTACACACACCAGATTAACAGTGGTTACAACTTGCACAACTGGCAGAAACACACACAAACACTTCTCTTTGGCACAACACACATTTGAGTCTTGGTGTCTTCCACATTATGCAGTGAAAAACTTCCCATCGTTGTCACCCCTACCCACTAGTTCCCACTTTGAAAATATTTATGTGCAAAGACACAGCCAAGATCAGACTCTGAAGAAAAGAACAGCAATTTGTGAGCTTGATCGCTCCAAATCTCTAAGATTAAATGCTTATGATTTATTCCTCATAATTCATTCCTTGATGGACTACGTGCATGCATGCAATAAAGTGTACTTCTTTTCATTTAATTTATAACATTACTGCACTACATTAGTGTACACAAACTTTGAAATCTGTCCCCGAGGATAACAACTAACAAGACAGGGTGTGGTTTGAAGTCTCCGCAGTGACGCTGTCATCCAGGCTTTGTTTCCGTTTAAGATGTTAACTGCTGACTCACACTTGAAACCTCCCGAGGTTTTGAATTAATATGAACAACTGTAACACAACCTAATGAACTTTATGGACACATTTCCAACATTGTGAAGTTTGTCTTGTTTAATCCAAGAGGTTATTTTCTGACTTCAGCTACATATTTTAAACAATTTTTACTTGCTCTCCATACAGCTGCTTTTATTTACTGACACTACTCCCTGATTTTTCTGGTCGAGTGGACCAATCTGTAACACATTTATCTAATTTTTGCATGTTTACAACACTGAATATTGACACAAACCTATCACTAGTTTTAGTAGTAAAACATCTTAAAGTGCCTAAAACACGGGTGTCAAACATAAGGCCCAGGGACCAGAATCAGCCTGTGAAAGACAGCAGTGTTCATTTTGACAGTAAATTTTGATTTATTTTAATCAGACTTTTGACTAAAATATGAATTAGTTTTGGTCCTAATTTAGGGATCTAAATTTGTAATATGTCTATTTGTCTACTTTTAACGTTGACATTTTGTCACGTTTTCATGAGAAACGGGGAGCACGGGAGTTAGCTGAACCCCTGTTCCCGCCCTGTTTCCCGGGGCCAGATCAAATTGCGTGTGTCTAACCTAACTGCATAAGGAGTTTACTTCTGATTGAATCACTTCCAAACTTGCCCCGCCTTTCTACACATCTTAATTAGTTCTGGTTGGATCTTGTCTCTCTTGAACATTATCTACACTTTTGTCAAATAAAAAGAAAAACTTCGTCATTGCTTTTTCCTTGTGCGTTAGTACTTATTTAGGTATCGTCTTGTTTTTATCAAGAACAAAAAAGATCGTTGAAGAAAACTATGAAGAAAATTAGTGAACTAAAATGTGAAGAACACATTTTAACTCTACTTAAAAAGAACACCCCTATGGCCATTCATACCATACCAATGTAACTAAGTGAGAAACAATTAAATGGCCGATGTGTCTATTTACAACAGAAATTTCTGTTTTAGTTTAAAATAACTTTCTGTGAATTAGCAAAAACTTTCTGTTTTATAATCACAAGTCAGGCTGGGCAATGCACTACCAGAATTTTTCTGTATTATTGCACATTTATTTCTTACAATTTGAGTCCAAAGATGCCAGATGACAGATTTTGTTTGCATTTCATTATCGCGAAGAAAAATTGAGACGTAGGATTGAAATTGTACTTCACTTCCTTATATTGAGATATTTCAGAGAATAAATGTGTAATTAAGCTTCTTTACACTAACAGAAACAGGAGTTTCATTACTCAGGATCAAAGTGGGCTGTACGATATAAAATGAGTTTGACATCCTTCGCCTAAAACTCGTACCTGTTCTTGCACCGCGCTCTGGCAAACGGATATCGAAAGGACTTTGCAAGTTAAACAGAAGGAGGGCACAACACAAGCTTCAGATTGGGCACCTAGTCATGATTCAACTGCCACATCACTCTTCACATCCCCCAGGATGTGATGTCATCACTGTGGGTCATTATAAATGGATGAGCCTGTGAGTGTGCATAGAGGTCGTCTTACTCAGTGCTTCCATGTAACCACTGTGTGACTACATTTCATCTGTCCCAGTCAGTTCAGACAGAGCCACATCCCTGTGGCTGCAGTCTTCATCATTATTCTCCTCACCACATCCCTTTGTCAGCAGGCTGGCTGTAAATGATGCTCTGCTGACTTGCTCACTCATATCAGTGGTAGCCTTCTATTACCAAATGTGCTGATTTTACGCTCCCACTGCCTCTTAAATTGCATTCCTAGTTTTATGCAGGATTAGCGTGCTATCACAGACATTGTTCTGCAGCCACTCCACCACCTATTATTACTTTCCTCTGTTATTACTGCTGTTATACAAATGCCAGCAATTGCGGTGGCAGTTTTACAGTGTTAGTGTGCACCCTGCTCTTCCTCTAAGGACAATGGTATGTGGTCTGTTTTTCTCTCCTCCTACGAGAGGTAAATATCATGGGGCATTGTGAGGAAAAAGGTTACCGAAATAAAAAGGACTCTTGCATTTGAGCCAGTCTTTTTCAAGAGTTGGGATGAATTAAAATCTGTCTGGCTTTTGTGTTTTGACCTACAGAAAGCTAACACAGTGATGGCTGTAAAGGTCGTAGAGCTTGCCCTCTTTCATTTTCTAGGTGCAGAAATAGTTACACTTGGCCTTTTCATGGAGGGAAAGTTTCTTTGTACATCCGTCTCTATGTACAAATGATAAGGGCTCACCAAAAACATCTATACTAAAGGCACCGCTGCGTCAAATTTCACTGTGTCTTAGAGTTGTTGCGATACACTTTTTACAACATTAAAAAGACTGACAGGTGAAGTGAGTAACATTGAATAGGTCATAATAATGTAATGCTTTTAAGGAAAATGTTTGACCCCAAAGGAAGCTCAAAGGCTAAAAGCAAGACTATTTATCATCCAGGGCTCTTGAACTGTCATGGTTCTGTGTCATTTTGACCCAGTATTTTCAGTTTCTTGTATTTTGGTGTTTTTTCTGTATTATGATTTGTTTTCTGATTCTTTAGTTGTCCTGTTTTGAATATTATAATCCTAAGTTTCAGTGTTATTCTGGTTAAGAGTTTGTTCTTAGGTTTAGTTCAGTGTCTAGTCTGTACCTGTCATGTTTCCTGTTTTACTTTGAAGGTCCGTGTCTCATGTTAGTGTGTCCGGTGTAATTCTCCCCTGTGTTGTCATTATGTTTCATTCGAGTCAGCTGTGTCCTCATGTGTCTCCACTTCTCCTGATCACCTCATGTGTGTATTTAAGTCCTCAGTCTTCCTGTGTTCAGCGTCGTGTTGTCTGTGTTTCTTACCCCATGTCTGATCATAGTTTATTGTTGCAGTTTAAGTTGTAGTTCTAGGTCTTATTTGACTCAGTATTTTCTCAGTTAACTCTGTTGTATGTTATCACCTGCAACTAGCAAAATAAAGGTTATTTTTGGGCTTTAAAGTTTCATCCCCTCGCCTCGGTCTCCTCCTGGGTCCTCAACGCTAACCCACACATGGTTTGCCTCGGCGGCCTGTGACATGAACGGATGTAAAACACTTCATGGAGATCCAGTGGATGGTTTTAAATCGAAGGAATCAAGTTAATAGAGTTTTATTTCACTGACAGGAATTCAAATCAGCAGCCAAATCCAGCGTACCGCAATCATTTAGAGATCTTTTTGTTTCTTTCAGGGCTGGTGAAAATCAAAGAAGCGACCGACATCGAGGAGAAATTAAACGAAGTGGAAAGGCTACTGAAGAATGCAATCAACATGCCATGCAAGGTTGGTATTTCATCTGATGGCATGTCATATAGACTCATAAAAGCTTCTTACATGAGAACATAAGCTCTGTACTCAAAAACCTTTCTTTAGTATTCCAGATCAGAGGTGATGCTGACTTTCTTTGAGCGGTCGCCCCTGGATCAGGTGCTAAGGAACGACAAAGTCCACAGAATCCAGCCATGCTTTGACAGTCCAATCAAGATATCAGGTTCATATACTTATTTAATGTGAATATAACTACATTTCAGTTATTTTTCATGATTTCTTTAAGGATGATGTAATATTCCTCTCTGCATTTTCCAGAAATCATGCGGTCCAATGGATTTTGTCTGGCCAACACAGAAACCATCGTGTTCGATCACAGTATCCCCGAAGAAAAAGAGAGACCTTCATCGACCGACTCTGTAGAACATACGTGAGTATAAGGATCGCTCAGTCATTATTATATCTGCCTTTGCATATGTTACTGAGCAAGAAAGCTGTTTAAAATCACATTAAGGGCCAGAGTGAGTTTAACACAGTTGTAGGTTTGAAGGCCACTTCAGAGTAAGAAACTACCTACTTGCCTTCTCACAAATGTGAGGATTTCCTTGCCTTTGAGTGTATACAATAAATGCTTTGGTGAGTAAAGAGGTCCTAGAATGTGAACCTACCCCAGGACCCTCCACCCGCTTCACATAGCACAGGAAGTGTGTCTGTGCAGCTCTTCCTTCCCTGGGTGTGTGTGTAGAAAGCAAAAGAGGAACACATTCCTCTCGGTACTTCACAGAAACACAAAAACAATGTAAATCACCCATAAATGGCAGCGCAGTTCTAAGGTTTTGTCAGTGTTTTGATGTTGACACTTACATCACACCTTTGATTCCTGGGGTAAACTGCACAGGCCTGGGTTAACCCAGTATGTCTTTCATTTTATTGCCAGGTATGAAGATGGAACAGAGTTTTTGCCATTGGAAACAGATGTGTGTGATGAAGAAACAGAAGCATATGTCACCAACCTCTCCTACTACCATCTGGTCCCATTTGAAACAGACATCCTGGAATGAGCATTGATCTACCAGATGCTTGTCGATGATGGCTTGTCACGCTGTAATATGTAGTCCTCAGTGGAACTCAACTATGCAATGCTGCACACCACGTAGCTGCTGCTTATTCCAGCGACTTTAAGAACTTTTTAAATAAGCATTGGTCATTTTGGAGTTGGCTGGGTGTACAGTTTGCACAGTAGTATTAGAGGAGCGCTACAGCAGCACGCCTTTGTTTTCATCCACTTTATGTGACATCACCGATGTGCCTCATCCAGAGCCTTACTTTTTTTTCCCACTTCAAAAGGCTTTCAGATGATGTACCTGAGGCAGCCACACAGTATAGATCCTCAGTGACACTTTTAACGTGCTATTTGGCAACTTAAAAGAACTAAAATCTGTAGGTTGGGGTGTGATTGTAGTGGCGACTACGCAACAGTGGAAATTAGGAAGCAAAAGTAATTTATGGAAACATTCATGATTTTCTCTCATGGACCTAAGAGATGGATCTTTAAGGTTTATCGTGTTCTCTGATTCCTGAAGTGATGCCACTTAGGAAAAAAGACAAAAACAAAAAACAGTTAAGGAGATTTTTATAGGATTTTTTTTTTTGTGTGGTGCAGTTTCCACCTGCATTAAGTTTTTGTAAAAGCTTAAAACTCACAGGAAAACTCTGATTTTGTTGCTGTGTCGTGCAGCAGGATCTTTGGTATGACAGTACACTGAAAGCTGAATGAAACTAGAAAACATGGGCTCTGATGATAGACACTTGTGGAATTTAGCTAGTCTTGGAGATGTTACCTGTGACAAATTGTTGCAATTGCTAAATTAAAGGCACTGAAGTGTGCGCAGTGCTTTTTGAGTCCTATTTGACCAGTCAAAGCAAACACCAGTCCACAAACTGGGGGGCAAGGTTTTCAATTTTGCATCTGTCCCAGGACTGAACCACAGAGGTTTTGATTATGATGGTGAATTGAGCAAGAATTATGTTATCTTATCCTCCAGCAGCATAAACATCAGCAGGAGATTCCTTTTCATGTTTCAGTTGGGCCTTGGACTGCTGTCAGTTAAAATAATATAAAGAAAATACAAAGTTTGGTTGTTATGTTGTTGCTTTGTGTTCAGATAAATGCTGCAGAGTTTGATGTTGATGAGACGTTTTTTGTATTAGTTTTGTCTGAATTATGAATTGTGATGTTAGACATGTAGCTTCATAAAAATGCTCATTTTTTTTTGCCCATAAAGGAATAATTTGGTGTCAAGAGTGAGTGTAGCCTGTGGAAAACAGAATCATGTCTCTGCTGTTGTTGTTTTCTGATGAGTGATAAAATGGGGCAAAGAAAGCTTTGTTTAAAGGCTCCATTGAGGTCACTTTTGTAAGATGACATGAGTGGGTTCAGTCAGACAGCTGAGTGTGGGAGTCTACAGAACAAGTCCTCTCTTTATGTAAAGAAGACAAACAACTTTGCTGTACTACAAGTTTCTATAGGAAAAGTTGTGAAGAAAGGCAAACAATTGGTTAAAATTCACGCCTTTGTATGTTTGTACTATAAGGAGGGCACTTTTACTTCTGAAACTGAGAACTCAGTGGTGCATTGCAGATGCTTTGAATGTGACCCAAATGCTAAAAATGTATATTTGTGTTGTGTTAGCTGTCTTTGCTTCAGCGGTTTTGTCACCGCGGGAGTCACCGTGGCCTTACAATGTAACTTAACAGCTTGTGTCCAGGTTCCTGCCCTTCCAAATACAAAGGCATTCAGCCCTCCACAAACTTGGCACATGAGCCGTCAGCATGGCGATCCTCCACATGAATCTGTTTAGTAACACAGTCATGATCACCATTCACCCCGTGAGAAAGTACAGCTCTTTCACAGGATACAAAAGTATTTCATGCTTTCTCTTCTTGTTTTTTGAACAAGAATGACGTGCTGATTTTGTATATAAGCATTTCTGTCTAAGGTGCAAAAAAAAAACTGGAATTTCCCACTAAAATTTCTGGACCAAGATTTTGTTCTACATGAAATTGCTGATATTGATGAACGAGCATAGGCGTTCATATTTAATAATGAAAACTCCAGCAAGACCTCTGCCTTCTTTACGACTCTTTTGCAAGCTTATGGCATTCAGTTTATTTTGAATATGAAGTTCTGAAATGGTACTCAATGCATTCAATGCAATGAGGAAAAACACAACACAACGCTGGTACTCCAGTGCCAGTGAAACTCTGAAACAAAGCTACATGCCTGGTGTGCCAGCCAGAGGTTTGAAGAGAGACAAGTGAAGACAATAGGAAAATAAAGTTACACAAAATATTCTTATTTATTTTGTAAATTTCAGCCACATTCTGTGAAGCCAACCATTCTATGCCTTGTAATGTATTGTATATTTACTTGTGTGCGTCATACGTGAGATGAACCTTTGGTTTGTAAATATGAATCTTAATTATAAACTTCTAAGATGAAGTTTATGTGCAAACATATTTGATAACCTTAAAGATATTCAGTATTGGTTACAAATTATTATTCAAAAAACCTTCTCAAAACAAATAAATGTTTTCAATAAAACAAATGGTCCTGTGATGTCTTTTGTGCACAAAGTGATTGGACCTTAGGGTCATAGAACGGCAGATGTAGACTGTGGGTAACTTGAGAAGCAAGGTGGCTACAATCATTAGTGTTGGATATGAGATTCAGAGGCATTCAGTGATAAGTGCACAATACTCATCCACAAACTCAAAGAAGTGGAGAATATTTGGTTGGGAAATCATGATTTGTAAATATGAATATCAGAAGCAAATATTCCAAGTCGCTGGATCCTTATTGGAAGCAGTGCACAAATTTGGACGGCAATCACTGGCAAATTCTCTTATTCTGGTAGTATTTTAATGTTTATGTATTTAAGATGCTACTAAAAACAAACAAAGTGAAGACAGAGAGATGTATGGTAATATTGATGATATTTATTGTATATGATCACTTTATTCTATGGAAGTACACAGGCATTGAGGTGCTTGGCCCGCTGCCCGTTATCTTAGAGCGACACCTGATGGTGGGTACAGGTAGTCATCATCAGTGTCGCTTCTTCAAAATTCAGTACAGTTAAAAGGTTGCTGATTTAAAAAAAAAAAGGGGGAAAACTGTAAAATAAGAAACAGCAACAAGATGAAGTAAGTAAATAATTACAGCAACCAGGCCCCCCGTAACAAACAAACAGACCAACATCAGTACCTTGTGTTGTCTTCATTAGATAATCTTTCTTATTCTATTTAACTGTGGAAAAAATGTTCTATCAACGGAATGTAAAAATAAAAAACTAAATTGAACATAACACAATAAATATTCATTAATTATTTGTTATTAACCACCTCTGTTTATTAGGACGACCTGCATCACAAACCTTGACTTGCAGTTTCATCAGTATAAATACTTATATTTTTGCATTTGTGTACGTTCATAAAGTGGAAAAAATAGACCGTAAACATGGCGTAAACGTCGATGAAAATCTTCTGTAAAAACTGTAGTAAGTGGTACAGATCAAAAGTGATTTAAATACTATTAAAACAAAATTAAACTAAAAAAAAAAAAGGTAAAGGAGGAACCGTTTTGTTTGGTAACCCCTTCAGGAGGCTGCGCAACCCGGCGCATGCGCGGAGGGAGGTCGATTTAGCGGTTGTTTCCTGCTTGCTGTTTCCACTCGAAGCAATGGCAGAAGTAAAAGCTTCCCTGGCTTGTGGAGGTATGTTCAGCTTTTGTATTTCCTGTATGAATAACAGTGGACCACACACGCTATCCCAGCATCAGTTTAAAGGCCCCTTGCAGCTGCCGTTGGTGAAAATGCGGCTCAAACTGAAGCACAGTTAGCCGGAGGGGCGACAGCTTTAGCTGGTGATGCTTCAGTCATGAGGTTTAATGCTGGGGAGGAAAAGAAACCCTAAAGCTGTAAAGCTTCACATTGAGATAAACACCTTGTCTGATTTCAGTGTTTTCTTTTACCGTCACAGTTATAGCGGCTTTCCTGAGTTCAGCGGTGCTTGCATTTGTTGAAGACCTAGATGACACGTAAGTGATGCACTACTATGTGCTTTTCCCCCTTCACTGATTCACCAATTCAGCTTCCTGCTACGGCAACTTCCGAGTTTAGAAATCATGCTCCGTGTGGATCCAAAGTGGCTCACTGCTCCTACTTCCTGTACTTTAGCAATGCTCTAAATCCTGTATGGTAAAAAGTGCCCACATTGCAGTTGTTGCATTAGCAGAAAAAAAATACATGGTGGTAATGCTGATTTCCTCTCTTTCTAGTTGCACAGTGCTTTATTTTTTTTAATTGGATGCCTGTGGTGAAAAGTCTCTGTAGATTATCTCTCTTGTGTGTAATAAGCCTGTCTTTGTATTGGAACATTTTTCATGATTTTGCCAATGACAATTTAAACATTAGCTCATCAATGGGCAGAGAGTAGTCTGCACGCCACAGGCTTTAATTGATTTTTTCAGGCCCCCAGATGTCAGCAGTTTAAATGTGAGAATATGATTCTTACGTTAAATATGAGTTTGGATTGCTGTGGCGAGATTTACCCATATGGTATACTCACAGTCTTTTGTGGTATTTCATTTGATTTTATTATTCATTAATTGTAATGTGATTTATTTGATTGGCAGAACTTGTCATTTCTGTCTAGTCTCAGCTGAATGGTTACAACTATGTTTTTTCTCTATTCCATAGATTTAAAGACACCAGAGTGAATGACGTCTGGCTGGTTGATGTGAGTTTGACATTATGGACCCACACAAACACACACTCTAATCTGGGTCCATTGAGCTATGGTTTACTTCATATCCAGCACGCCACTGTCTGAATCATCCCTTGCGGAAGCAATGGGAGTCTGGGTGGGATGTCATAAGGGAGGGGGTCGTGCAAACAGTCCCCTGTGATTAGTGAATGAGAAGTCATGCATGCACGGCAAAGCCGGGGGGCTCTGAGAGCTTTAAAGCAGGGTTTGTGTCGACACCCAAAGTAGCAAAAGTTGCTTTTGCTGCGCGTTATGGGCTCCATGGTGAATTGTGACATTAGTTTTATTTTTGTGTTGTTTTCTTATACTGATGAAATTGTTATATGTTGTGTAATTTGTGGAAACTAAGCTCCTAAAAAGAAATTCAAACAAACCAGACAATCACTGGAGCAAAAGGCTTTTACGTAAAATTAGTCAACAAGTTCTGCTTAACACTGAATCTTTGTCTTTTATTGCCATAATAACTGTTTTGTAATCCTTTTGGCTTTCGGTGGAGAAAGACCACTGTAACTGTTACCCATGGTCACATGTTAGGTTAGCCATTAAATCAACAATAAAGCACCAATGTGTAAAATTAGTACAGGAAAAATATGGTGTAACCGAAAAAGCCATAAAAATAACTTGCACAAGAGAGCAGATACAAACCAGTGTTTTAAGTATACAAAGAATCGTAACCAGTTACATAAGACATGTAATAGTCACACATATAATATAATAGACTTGTAATAACATTTCAATAAAGATGATGATTAAAAAACAGACAAAAACCAAACACTAAACGAGACCAGATAAAACAAGCCTTTAATACACTACTTTTTGTTATTCATAAATTCAGACATACTTAACGTCCACTGATAAAGACAAACACGGTGTGTCATACCGGCTTCATAACTGCCTAACTTGTAAAATGCAATGGTACCTTAAATGGCCCTCTGGTTAAAGTGATGATTAAGAGCATGGGGAATCATACTTTCTCATGCTACTATCTCACCTCTGTGTGAAGATCTTTTTGTGGTGGTGGAATAAGACGTGACGTGCAACCTTTTGTTCTAAAGAGCATGTCGTTATTTTGTGCATGCCTGTCTGTTAAACCCTACGTTTAGTGCTGCCGGCGTGCTCTGGAATGATGGTCTGGCACTTTTTCCTCCAAGTGAGGAAATGGAACACAGTCTGACTTAAAGTCAGTCATTGCTGAAGTGTATTTCATGCAAAAGATGCAAAAAGGCAAATTAAATGGTCAAAAGCTGACATGACCTAACACTGACAACATAGATGTCACAGTTTTCTCCTTCATTCACATGAACTCTGTTTCATCTTACAGTACCTGTCTTTTAGTTATCCTAAATGGCCTTTTATTCTCTTTGTTTGGTAAGCATAGTGTGCCATGTTAGTATTTTATTTTCTCTTGTCCTGTGAAACTTACTTCATTACGTTATGTCTGTGTAGGTTCTCAGTTGTCCAGGTCATGGTAGCCTCAGGAGCTTGACAAAAGAAGTCCAGTGGCCTTCTTTTCAAGCTCTTAAGACTTCATTACATTGTTCACATAAACTCAACCTTTCCTCAATCAATTAAATTAAAAGTCCTGTACCTTTGCATATATTTTACTTTGACATATTTCTATAAATGTGCTGAAAATGTTAGAACAGCTTTTATTTTGAAGACATATGGGTACATAAGGATTATCTGTGGATAT